GCACATCGAGGGGGCTCAGATCCTATGTTCCCACAGGCAAGTGACAGAAAACAAAAACAAGAACAAAAACAAAACAGAAGAGGAGGAAGAAGGAGAGGGAATTATCAAGGATTTGAACCGTAATGAGTGATAATGTTTTCCAATTAGTCCCCATGTCATCTATGATCCCAGGACACACAGGCATTCTGAAAAAAGAAAATCTGAATTTTCTGTCTCAATAAGTATAACTCAATTATTTAACAAAAATAGAATCTGAGTCTCTGCTAAGTAACTTGTCAAAGAAAATATACCAAATCTGTGGCAGAACCAAGCTCTACAAATCTACAGGCTCAACTTCTACCAGTGAGAATACAAAATTAGGAAAAATCAGTGTTCAGGAAATTTGCCTTTTTATTTCCTTATCATTGTAAAGCTCTTACCAAAGCTTTGCATGATTGACTTTATTTTACTTTATCCATGTATGCCTGTGTGTGTACACGTGTGTTAGAGAGAGATTTTCTAATCATGTGACCATGTAGTATGATTGAAAGTATATGACTTGAGAGTCCGAAAATCTAGCTCCATGACTTACTAGATTCACCATTTTCAGTCATTACCTTGACCACTCTTATCTTTATATTCCTTTTTGGGTGGAGATGACTTGGGTAGGTGGATAAAAATTGTTTAAATTTATGAATATTCTGTCTTTTTACCTTGCAAAGTTGCTGTAACTATTATTAATTCTTCTTTTTTTTTAAAGGGAAAATGAATGTAAATGGATAGTTTCTGTATACTACAGAGGCTAATCAAGGCAAATGGTGATTTGGGTCTATACTCTTATGACTAAAAGTATAGCCTGTGGATTTTGGCATCATCTGGGGCTTTTAGTGATACAGATAGATCCTCAGGCCTCCCCTCAGGTCTACTGAATTATTATATGTTCATTTTTACAAGAATCTCAAGTAGTCAGTATGCACAAGAAAGGAGATACTGGTGTATACTGCATGGATGAGATTTATGGTGCTCTAAATGAACCCCTGAAAGTGTGCAGAGGTCTCCTGGCATGTGCATATAGGCACACTTTCTGCCTAGAAGACCTATTGCATTCCTATGATCCCAGGGAGGTCTGGGAGACAAAAATATTTGAGAACCAATACTCCATTGCTTTTTAATTGTATGGAGATTTTCTCAATAACAGAAGAATTTCAAATATTCAATATTTAACGGCGATTTTTGCCACATAAAAGCAACAGAAGGAGAAGGAAGAGGAGTGAGAAGAAGGAAGGGGAGGAAGAGGAGGAGAAGGGAAGAAGAGAAGAAAGGGGAGAGGGAAGAGGAAAGAGGAAATGGGGAAAAGGAAAGGAAGAGAGAGAGCCCAAATAATTCACCCTCAGAGATTGGTGAAGGTGATGGAACTTAGTTGAAAGGATACAGGAAGGCGAAGCTGAAAGCCCATCTTTGAATCTCAACTCCAAGAAATAATCTCTATGTGACCTTGAGAAAGTCACCTCCCTATCCTGAATCTCAATCTCTGCTTCTGTGAGATAAAGATGCTTACATTATTTCAAAGATTCCTGTCAGTTGTAAGACTCCATGCACGAATTCTGCTTTCACTGAGCTGTGAGCCAAATCTCTAATCCGGAAGCCAAAGGTTTATCCTCCTTACTGCTTAGACCAGAGAGAGAAAGACAGATTGTTTCTCTCAGAATTTGATTATGGAGTTGGAGTGGCTATATTTTAAATACAGATTAGATATCATAATATGTTTCTGTAGAATAGAAAGTTAAATGTGGTGCAAATATATGTGTGTGTTTACGCACACACACATATACATACAATGGAATATTACTCAGCAATAAAAAAAGGAGAGTCTACTATTTGTGACAACATGGATGGAACTTGACGGGATTATGCTAAGTGAATTAATTCAGGGAAAACAAAACCCATAAACATATAGTCACAGTTACATGTGGAATCTAAAAACAAAAACAAAAAAAAAGAAACTAACCCATAGATACAAGGGATAGATTGGTGGTTGCCAAAGGCAGGGTGTAGGGAGGGAATGAGTGAAGGTGGTGAAAAGGCACAGACTTCTAGTTATAAAATAAATAAATCCTGGGGATGTAATATACAGCACAGTGACTATAATTAACAATACATTTTTGCATATTTGAAAGTTGCTAAGAGAGTATATCTTAAAAGTTCTCATCATTAGAAAAAAATGGAAATATGTGTGGTGATGGATGTTAGGTAGACTTAGTGGGGTGATTGTTTTACTCTATATATCAAAATTTACTATGCATATATTATATATTTTTTATACATATATATGTCAAATCATAAAGAGTACATGCCTGAAACTAATATAACATTATATGTCAATTATATCTCAATAAAAAAGAAAGTTATAGGCTTGAAAATGAAACAGTTTAAATCTTCTAGATTAAGAAAAAGAATTGAAGAAAGGTAATAGTCTTACTCATCCAACTGTGGCAGGAGAGAATGATAAAATTTCTCCTTGAGATGTTGTTAGGTTGGGACAAGAAGGAAAGTCAATAGGAAGAGGTTACCAAAGTACAACCTAAAGACAACAGCAAATCAGTAAGCGTTTGGTAAGTCTAGATTTTTATACTTAAATTTGCAGAAAATTGGGTTCAAGCCATTTAAATAGCTTTTCTTTTTCTGCAGGATTTCTCAGAAACTTTGCTATGCTTATGAGCAACACCATTTGTTTAAAATGCAAATAATGTACCTCTCTGTAAACTGGCTTCATCTTGAGAACTGTATATTCATCGATGTTGTGCCCAAGCAGAACTTACTTTGAGAAATGTTATGTGACTTTAGAGAAGTCACTTCTCTCTTAGTGTCATTTTCTCCTTCTGTACGACTGAGGGGGTTGGATTAGAAATCGCGGATGTTCTTCCCAGGTATAAAATGGTATAGCGAAATAATGCCTTAAAAATATCATTTTGAATTTGAAAACAATGAGTCACTGCAAGACCGAACAGGATAATAAGGCTGCCAGTTTGTGTGATACAGATGATCAATGTAGAGGAGATCAGGAAGGCTAGATTTCAGTGTGGGCTCAAGCTGTTAGAACAGACTGGGCCACCAAGCAAAGAAGAGGCAGGGGTATTTTAAGGAGCTTTCCCTTTGAATTGAGGTGTGGGGAAAGGGACGATTTCAGTATCAGGATACTCTTGGTCCCCAGAGGTAGGAACCAACTTGAACTAGCTCAGGATGAAAAGGATATTTACCGGAATGGTGGAGAATATGCCAAGTGTCCAGGGAGAGGGTGGAGAGTAGATGACCTCAAGGACAATTAGAACTAGGAACTGAATCACCACCAGGAGGTTTATTCTGTTCTTTCTGTACATCTGCTTTATATTTTCTTTTGCATATCTCCTTTTCTACTCAGCAAGAGCTCCTAAACCTCACATTTTCTCACTACCAGGAAAAGACTGTCTCCCTTTATCTCAAAGTCAGATTCTTCAAGGAAATGCTCCTGATTGGTCAACTTGACTCAGGTAACTGGATGAATTATTTGTGGGCAGAGGAGAGGGTCACCTAACACAGACATGGCCCCTCATGTCTCTGATTCTCACAGATGAGAAAAATCAGTGTGAGCTGGGAAGTGATCCTAATGCTCATTAAAACACTGAAGAGTTCTCGCTTCGGCCAGAACTTTGCCCAAGATGTGTTCAGGCAGCAAGTGTGGGTAAGGTAGAGCAAGTCAGTTGAGTGTCAATCTGGAAGGGTGGCTCAGACAAGGGGATCTTATTTGATCCATTTATTATTATTACAATTATTATTATCATTACAATCATTATTATTATTACTATATTATTATTTTGTCCAGTGGTTTTGAAAGTCAGGTTGGTGTCATGCTGCACATACAAGAATTACTTGGAGGAGTGGGGGGTATGCTTACTAAAATACTGAGCCCTGGGCCCATCCCCAGTGACTATGATTCAAAAGATTGGCCTGGAGCATGAAAAACAGTGCTCGCTAAAAAATTATCTTAGGTGACTCTAGTGATGAGCCAGTTTTAGGATTTACTGATCAATCTGATATAACTTTATTGTGGACCTATTAAGCATAATATTTTTTGCTAGTTTCTGAAAGACAGAATCAGCTTGTTTCAGAGACATATTCACAAGACATTTATACTTTTTTAAAAAAGAAATTTGGCTCTATTAGGGAACATATAGCTTGTATATAAATAGACCTAAATGATCAAATATCATTTAGAAGCTCAGAGGAATGATTAGAACTGGAGGTGGTGTGGAGTTAGCAAAGACTTGGTGGAGGAGGTAACATTTCAGTTCTTAAATGTTTGAGCTCTTAAATAATGGATTGAATTTTGAATATTCAGAGGAGGAAGTTTATTCCAGTTGGAAAGTAGAGTATAAAAAAGCACCTGAAGGAGAAAAATCTAAAGCAGGGTTTCTTAATCTCACATCAAAGATATCCCAAAGGATCAGTAAATTTGTACAGAAAAATATTTATTTTCACTAACATCTAACAGAAATTAGTAAGTCCTTCAATATGACAGGAAACAATAGTAGATTTAGTAATACTTGCAAATTTTTCACTATTAGCAATTACATATAGGGGGGCCTGGGTAGTTCAGTTGGTTGAGCATCTGGCTCTTGATTTCAGCTCAGGTCATGATCTCAGGGTCCTGAGATCGAGCCTCACATTGGGTTCTTCAATGGGTAAGGTCCTGCTTAAGATTCTCTCTCTCCCTCTGACCCTCCCCACCCCGTGTGTGCTCCCTTTCTCTAAAAAAAAAAAAAAAAAAAATAGAAAGAAAGAAAGAAAGAAAGAAAGAAAGAAAGAAAGAAAGAAAGAAATTACATATAAAGTAGACTCCACATCCAATGTGGAGCCCAACACAGGGCTTGACCTCACAGCCCTAAGGATCAAGACCTGAGCTGAGATCAAGTGTCGGACACTCAACTGACTGAGCCACTCAGGTACCCACATATTTCTATATTTTATTAAAATTGCAGCAGATAGTGCTCACTTCTGCAGCACTTCTACTAAAATCGGAATGATACAGAGAAGATTGGCATGGCCCCTGCCCAAGGATGACATGCAAATTCATAAAATTGTAGCAGATAATTTATACTGTCATTTTTTACTCACCATTGATTCAAAATTAGAATAGCTATACATCTACTACTAGCTCTTCCTAAAGGCTCAACAATAAATAAGTTGAATGATTCAAAATCAAAATTTTTTAAAAAGTATAACATTTTGGTATTAGTTTTCTTTATAATTTTATAAGCTTTGTTTCATGCATTTAAAAAGATTATTCTGAAAATCTGTTCTGGTTAGCTACAACTGGGTAACAAATTACTCTAAAATTTATCCACATACAATGACCATTTTATTTTCTATTGATTTTGTGGATCAGAAATTTGAGAAAGGCCCAGGTAAACAGATGTCATATGTGATCCTTCATGTGGTTACAGTTCACTGTTGGCTGGGTTGCAGTCATCAGCAGCCTTAGCTGGGCTAGGTACCCAAGATGGTTGGAAGTTCAAATGGGGTGGCCTACGCATATACCTCACCTGGTACCATGGGCTTCTTACATCTTAATGGCTGAGTCCTGGAAGGGAAGCATCTAGAGGCAGTATTCAGTAAGAGAGTAGTCCATAAAGCTAAAACAGAAGAAACAAGACTTTGACCTTGCTTTTCATGTCATGCAGTGTCACCTCACCTCCTTTCTCTCAATTACTCATAAACCACTAAGGTCAATAGGATTTAAAGAAAGGCAAACCCCTAGTCATTTTGAGAGAAGTGTCAAAAGACTACAGCCACCTTTAATCTGCTACAGAAAGATTCCATAGGCTTAAGTAGACTGTCAAGGATCTTTATGACATAAAAAATGTTGATAATATCTACTCTAGCATACATGCTTAAGTAATGACTGTATTCCATAAAAGAATCAATTAATATTAGCTTTAGAGGGTATTCAAGGTAGCCAGAAGCTAGCTACTGAGCCATATGTATGGATTTCCCAAGTTATATCATTCCAATGTCTGTTAGAAACAAACAAAAAAGAGAGAGAGAGAGAGAGAGAAAGAAAGAAAAATTCTACTTAACCTTGATGGGTCAAAAGTGACAGAACTGAGCTTTGCCCCAAACCAGAAGAGCAAGCAAACAGTTTCATAATGGTGAAAGCACCTTGCTTATGGGGAGATAAGACTTGTCTTCCTTTGTTGAATATAATTAAAAGAGATGGGAAAGAAATGTGACGAGGCCCCCGGATCTCCTCTCAAACATGCTGCAGTGATGAATCAAAGAGATGGAAACTGACACCTTCCATCTCCGGGACACCCAGAGTAGAAATACAGTCAATAAGACGGCATGTTCATTGATGTGCAAGGCCTCTTCCCTATCAGAAGGAGAAAGATGAAACCTGACAGCTCTCCCCTCAGTAATTCCTCACCTCTTTCCACCACTGGCCACAGGTGGAAGAAGCCTTTTGGTGAGAAAGATGAAGTTTGTGTCTATGGGATCTTCAGTTGAGATGTTTATCTAGGTCTTTAGCCAAAGGCTTTAGCATATTCATTTACAGGCTTTAGCTAAAAGATCGCTGGGGGAGTTGTTAACATGTGAGAAGAGCAGAACTCCTTAGGTTAGAAGACTTACGGGCGTACGAATATGATGTATCTTGACTGTTTCATTTAGGAGATGTCTCCTTAATGGATGACAGTCTACTGGGGGTCGGGAGAACACATGGTTCAGGATTCTTATACGTGCTTGGCGATATCACGAATTTTAGGTTCTGAATTGTAACTGAAAGCCCCTGAAAGTCAAAGATAATTTTGCAATCCCTAGTATTCGTCAGTGGTTACGTGATAGCAAATCTTTAAATAAATGATTTATTAAAGAACAAATGATGGTTGAATGAAACTGTACGAAGAACACTACCTAGACACCCAGATAGTAAAATACAAGCGATCATTTAGCTGGTCTGTAAGACCCTGTATTATCTGGCCTCTGACCAGTTGCCTAGCCCAATCTCTAATTATTACCTCTCCTCTTTTGCTCACCAACCTAAGAAAGCACGAAGAAGCTTGTATGTTTTAGCAGCTTTGCCCATGCTGACCCAGATCCCAAGAGGTGAAAAGGGCTAATTTCGATTAGGTGGCCAGAGAAACTTCTCTGTGAGAAGACAAAGCTTGGGTAGAAATCCAAAAGATAAAACAGAGCCAGCCTCATGAAGCTCTGGGAGTGGGGGTGGAAAGCACAATCCAGATGGAGAGGAAAGCAAGGAAAAAGGCATTAAATCAAGGATGAGCTTGACATTATTGTTATTATTTTTTCTTTAACAGAACGACAGCTGGTGTGGTGGAAGGAAAGGGATGAAGGGGTAGAGCAATAAAGAGGAGGTCAGAGATGAGAGAGTTAGGGAGGGTCCAGGTCGCTTAGAACCTGAAGGCTGTGGTACAGGGTTTGAATTGTGCTCTAAGTGGAATGGGAAGCCATTCAGCTGTATTACACAGGAGTCTGCATGATCTGATTTGTCTTTTGAGAAGAGAATGGCTTGCGGGAAGACAAGCGCAGACGCAGGTAGCCTGGGTAGGAGGTGATTTCAACGGTTCAGATCAAGGTTGGAGCAGTGAAGCAAGAGAGAAGGAAAGAGCTTTGGTCCATGTTTCGAAATCAAAGCTATCAAGGTCGTCTGATGGGATAGAAGGATGGAATTTAAATAATCAACTAATGAGAAAAGGGTTTACATTTATTTACAGGTCGACAAAAAGAAATGCATATAAATACAACAACTCTGAAGTGGCATTTTTTTTTCCTCCTACCAAATTGACAAATGCTTTTAAAAAATGATAAAAACCCTAAAATACATGAGTTTTGAAACCCAACCCAGTTGTCCAACAATCAAAGATCAGTTAAATAAATCGTAGGGCATGCATATGTTTCAAATGCTCTGTAGCCATTAAAAGTGACATTGTGGGAGAACACTTAATGACACAGAAAATGTTCACGGAAAGTTTTATCTGCTCAACAACCAGCTGTCAGGGTCCCATGCTTCTTGTTAAGTACCAAATGGATCTGCAGTGAAGAGAAATGTTAATATCTTTAAAATTTGCTACAGAACTTCTCTAAGGTTTGGGACCTTTTTTTTTTTTTATTTTTTTCCAAATGCCTGGCAACCTTCCTAGGGGTGAGGCCCACCTGAAAGTGAGACTCTCAGGACATTTAACATCTTGATGCAAGATTATCAGGAATAGAATCATTGAAAAAAAGAGCACTACTTTGGGGCAGTGGCTTTGGTTTTGAGTTTGAAAAAAGAAAACGGCTGTATTATTTTTGGTTTGTGGCAACGCAGGATGGACCAGAATCTGCAAATGCAGGGGTGGCAAGGTAGGTCATGAACCTAATCAGGCGATCCTAATGGCCATGAGAACAAAGCACATACTCCGTCTTCCTTAGGAATTTGCCGACAACCTGGCAAGGACTTTCGATTTCCGTGGTATGTGGCTTGGTATTTTGAACTAATTTTTCAAAAGGCAAAGAGATCTCAACTCAGTCATTAAAAAATAGTATCCCAGGTTAGAAAATTTAATTATTTTGTAATGAACAGGACCTAGAATGTAACCAGAAGTACAGAAGGAAGGGTCTTTAAAGAACATATAAGCTGATGTTATTGTTCATAAAGGACAAACTGAGGTTCCCATAAGGACAGAATGCAGAAATTACCCACGAATGTGTGTCCGCAGGTTAGTTCAAAGCATGAAAGGTGTGAAGGCTGGCTCTCGATGCAAATGAAAGCTGATTTCAAAGTGAAATGGAGGATCCACCGCTCGGTGTTCAAGCTCATCGTTGCTAACAGACAGTAGAAAACTTATTCCTCACTCCCCATGTATAGATGCTTTTGCAAACTCGTGTCAGAGCTACGGAATTTGTTTTCGATTTGCTGTTTTCATGCTCCGCATTGCCTGTGGTTCCAGGCAGCCCTTTAAACAGAAAAAGCCTATGGCTCAGCTAATACTTCATTTTGGAGATACCATCATGTGCTGGTATCCTGCCATCACTAAAAGATTAATATCAATGCTGCCTGTCATTTCTAGTTAGCATGCTTGAGGGAAGCAGGCCTGTCGCACGGAGACACACTGGACCAGGCCTGCCCAGGAAGGCAAAAGCCTGCCTCCGGCGCTTTGAGTCGGGTAAACTTGGGTGAAGCATGCAGAGTCACAGGTCTTAGTTTCTTCGTCTGAAAACGGGGACAGTAAATTTGTTCAATTTGTGAGTATTTGGTTAGAAAATAAGCGTAGGGGCGCCTGGGTGGCTCAGTCGATTCCGTGTCTGATGCCTGGTTTCCGCTCAGGTCATGATCTCAGGGTCCTGGGACCCCAGCACCTTGTAGGGCTCAGTGCTCAGTGCTCAGCTCTTGAGGATGCTCTCTCCCTTGCTCTCCTCCCCTCCCCACCCCGTGTTCTCTGTCTCTCTCTCAAAAAAATAAGTAAAAATAAATAGATAGATAGATAGATAGATTAAATAAATAAATAAATAAATAAATAAATAAATAAATAAATAAATATTTTCTAAAAGAAAATGTGAAAAATCCTCGTGAACTTTAAATACCTCTTTAAGTACAAAATAATGGTGTTCTTAAGCCTGGGGGGCGGGGGGTTCTATCCTTTAAAGCCCTCATCTCTGCCGTGAAAATTCCTGCACGCTCCTGAGGCCTGTGACGGCGGCACTAACTCCCTTCAGTCTGCATCTCTAAATACAACGTCTAGTGCCTCCCATCTTCCACCATGAGCCTAGCACAGCCCACTTACCCCCTTAATTGTCTAAGTGGGAAGTTCTTGTTCACCCTCTGATTCCCAAGCCCCAGTATTTGAATGCCTTCTTGAAGTCAACATTGGCTAAAACCTGTCGTGGTTATGGATCGTGGGTGCTTCACGCACAGGATCTCGTATAATCCCCGACTGCTTTAGAAGGCAGATGCCACATGCCTTCTCTCTCTAGTGCGATTGTAGTCCTATGGATACAGGGAGAATGTGCAATGCATTTTGTATCTTCAACATAACCAAGATTGAACTCAGTAAATGTATTAATACTAGAATCATTACCACTGTTATTACTTATTACT